CAAAAGTTACAGTCTGGTTTGTTCCTCTCCCATAGTTCCTTTTTCATCTCTCTACAACTTGTGCAGGTTCACAAACAACATACTAAGTACAGTTCAACAGGTATGGTTTCGGAAATTGGGTGGCGCCAAAAATCCACTCATACAATTCAGTGATAAGAGTGTAAAAAACGAGCAACCGGAAGCCATGAAATCCATATCTGAAGCACCGGCTGCCACAAAGGTAGTCGAAAAAGAAGAGAAACTGACTAAAGTGGGGCTTCGTCCTGGTGAAAGGTTAAAAAGCAAGTTTTATTTAATACCAAATGATGCTTCTGTTTAGATGATATTTTGTTCTAATCTTCTTCAAAATTTTATAGGTTTAAACAACTAAAGGAACAAGAAGCTCAAAGGAAAAGGCAAAGAGAGGAAGAGAGAATAACAAATGGCGAAGTAAATAAAGATGACTCTCAACTAGAGAGAGAAGATAGTCACCATGCCACGTCCACTGGTCCTTATTTCGGGAATAATGATGAGCTTTCCTCTAGCGTTGATGGATTTGCTGTGAATGGTAATAGTGTCAACTCATCAGTGAAGGATGGAAATCCTGAAATTTCAGTTGATTACAACAACGAAAGAAATAAATTGCAACTGGACAAAAATTTAGAAAAGGTAATATTTCTTGATTCCCGTATTTGAACTCTGAGCTTTTTTTTTTTACCTTTTGCTGCACATATTAATTTCAAGTCGATTGGTATGTTTATGAACAAAAATAGGGTTGTATGAAAAATTAGAGGACCAAACTGCTGAAATTGGGTCTGCTCATGATCCAACTAATAATGGTAGTAGATTTTGGACTGAGTTGGAAACACTACCTTAAATTTTAGGGATAATGAAAGGGATCTTGGTGGAGGGGAGAGTGTAAGAGATGGGTGGGTTTCAATCTTAAGATAATCGGATACCATACGGGTATATGGGTAACCCGATTTCACTCTATGGGACTTACCTCGACCCATAGCCATCCAAACCCGTATAATGTAAAGAGAATTTTTAAATATTCTGCTGCACAATTAATTATAATATGACTTATAAAAGATGTAACTAATGAATTGTCAACAAAGTTTGAAAATAAAATAAACCTAAAATTTTACAACATTTTTAGAATTATAATGAGATTTAATTTTTTTATAATCTAGCTAATAATGTAATATTTATAAAGAAAAAAAGAAAGAAAGTGCAATTGCCATATAAAATGTAATAAGCAAGTTTCTACAATAATGAAGACTTAAAAAAGAGGAATTAGAATAAAAAATGTATTCATACAAGTACAAAAGAAGTAAGTTTTGTTTGAATATCACTAATAATACATGTAGTAATCTTTTCTTCATTCTTAGCTTGTACAAAAGAAGTATTTTTAGTTATATTGATTTAATTTTTCCAACTCTTTCAAAATTGTAGCTTTTAATATTTTACATCCACATATTATTCTAGTTTAACACGGTTGTTTTTATACATTGCAATTTGCATCGATGATAACCTAATAGTAGTAGCTTGCATTACTTACAAAAAAATCAAGTATGAAATACACTACAAGATCAAATTTCTTACTGATTGTTATTATTTATCACATATATGCTACTTATGTAGTTACTAAAACTAAGTAATTAGCCTTTTTATAATACAATTGCAACAAAATTAGATTAGATCAGTTTTTGGTGGCACAGGAACTGCTGTGGTTTGGAACGTGTTAGTCTTGGGAATCAGATGTTTTATCCTTTATTAATGTGCTGAACATCACCTCAATAGAAAAAAACTTTGATCATAAATAGTCAAGGCCTTACTCCAACGTCTCCAAATGGGTTTCCAGCCTCTCCAAACAGGCATTCAGCCTTGTTTACGTAAAACAGCGTCTGGGTCAGATTAAATTGATAGAATGAAGGGGAAAATAATTCTAATAAATAACTTAAACAATCAAAATAGCGAAAATTTACTCCGTAGGGTTCTCAGACCAAATGGTTGTGTAAATATCAACATCCGGAAAAACACACCTCTCCGTGACCCCCAGGCACGATTATATTATTTTATATATTAACTTTATTATTTAATAATTAGACCCTAAAGCCCAATTACGAGCCCACTTAATAAATGATCTTTATTGTGTATCGAATAAATATAACTAGGCCTGTTCCCCAACACCAAGCAGGTTGCCTGTTTCAACCTTTGAGAATAGGCTTTTAGAAATCGACCCTCTTTTTGTCCCCCTTTTTTTTCTTTAATCTCAGGAAAGAGAAACATGTAAGGTCGAACCGAACCATAAGTCTCTTTTGTTTTTGGAAAATAATTGTGAGACTTGTATATTTTTTAGGCTACACTAAATATCAAGGTTATCTTTTTTTAGTTATTCTTAATATTCTACTACAATTCGAATTTGCCTATGTACGCTATGCTTGTAAGAAAGTTAGGAAACTTCATTTACATGAGCTGTCAATTATTTCGCTAATCTATGCAACTGTTATCATTCTATGTGGGTTAAGACACCGTTCTGAAGCCTGAAATGTTCCGTTATTTGCAAAATGCAAGAGCCAGTCATGGTCTTATATATAACGAGAATCTCTTCATTGATATCTGAATTCATTTTTGCTCCATTTAAATTGAAGATGTAAGATGTATTGATGATGACTAATATGATATCGATGCTATACACGAGAGCACTTATGATGAAGGAATATTATTTACTGAATGATTATTTTTGGAAGCATGTGGCAGACAGAAATGTTAGTTATGCAGCAATGAAATAGATTGAATTAAAAATCCAATTAATTTATTCCTAGTTAGCTGCAATATTGTCGTTGCAAGTCATATGACTTGTTATTTAGCCCTTTCTTGTAGAATTGGTTCTGTTGAGGTGGCAATTTGACACAAACTTATCAACTGCCTGGAAAGCATTATTTATCTGTTTAAGAGAATTTTTTGGATTATTGCAAAAAAACCCATAATGTCAGCCAGTACAACTCTATCAAATAATCTGGAGTTCTTTTGTAATTAGAATGAGTGCAATGTAGTTTGTAATCGGAACAAAAATTGCCCAGTTATTAAGCTCTTCAGCTGCCCAGTTATGGAATCCTTTTTATGTTCTTTCTTTCTTAACACTTTAGCTTGTTTATTCTTCAGATAATTTGTACATTTTTTTTTTTCTTGTAGCTAATTTCAANTTTTTTTTTTTTATTCATGTTCCTGATAATCCTGGATTGATTTTTTGGCTGTTGAAGAACGAAGATGACTTCCAGAAAAAGGATTCATATTAATACAGCAACAGATGAGCTCTGTCACAAATTTTGCAACAGGGCTTTTTGCTTTTTCTTAGGAGGTTCAATCCCTGCCAGTGTAATGACCATGACCATCACTGCATTGCTGCTGAAGAAGAATCTTTTTCTTCACACATTGGCAGTAAATTGGACGTCTGATATACATGGATAGATTTGAAGGACAAATTCGGTATATATTTGTTATCGCGGGAAACAGATACACGAGTGCTTCTAATGTAACGTTGGCAAAGGACTTGTGTATAGTACAGGGCAACGTTGATGTGTTTGTTAACGGCTTGCTTGTTTACAAATATATTGATTTTTTTTTATTTTTTTTTTTTGTTTTTCGTTAAGCATAGTTAATATTAAAAAAAAAATTAGTATGGTTAATTGGTAGTGAGATTTTAAGTTTGTATTATAATAATATTTAAAATAAATAATTAAAATTGATTTAATGTAAGAGTAGGAGATAGATGATTGGAATTGATAGGTAGTTAAATTATGTGAATCGGTGGATAGTGAATTAATGTCGATACGTTGCGTGAATTGATATATAAGATTGATTGATTGATATTATCTAACTGTATTAATAAATAATATTGATAATAGTGAGGTTGAATTAAATTTTGAGTTAAGATTGATTTTTTTTTCTTTTGTATAATTGCAAACAAGCAAGTTGTGTGCTAATTTTTGTTCATTAGTCTTTCTTTTCATTCCTCCTTTACCTTCATTGGTACACTTACCTGTGCAAATACACGGGAGCTACGAAAAAAATCATTAAAAGAACAATTTCATCTATCCAAGTTTGAAAGTAATTCGTAGCATGAATGTCCAAGAGACTTTTCACAGTCTAACGTTCCAAACAATTAACGAAACAATCATCACTTACTTCAAATTGTATTTTGTACTTAGAAAATATAAGTTAATTTAAAAAAAAACGATAATAAAATTAAAAACATATGAACATATATAATTACTTTCGTCTATAAATTTTAAATAATTGTTAGATAAATAATGTAAAAAAAATACTTCATCACCCCAGAGTCACAAAAAGCATGCAACAGATATTTTTTTGGGACATTTGGACATGAGAGATATCAAATTATCAATAATTCCACGTAAATGACTCGAAAACAACACAAAACGCCATGGCTTTTAACCTATAAAATAAAAGAGACTTGTATTATGTCAAAATTAACTATAAAATTTTTATAAATGTTACAAAAAAATAGGTTACGTAATATGTCCACGCTAGACTCCTCCATACCTTAAAAGTAATAAAAAATATATTAGTACTATTAAATCAATAAAAAATTTATTTTTAAATTTTCACAATTAAAATAAGTCACAAATAAATCTTCCGCAACAACGAATTCTTCGATTTCATCAGCATTTTGATCCAAAATCATTTTTGTTATGACCAAAATCATTTTGGTAATGTCATACATGTTCGACACCTTCACTTTTGATCCAAAATCATTACTTGCTTTCATCAGCATTTTTTTTTTTTAGTTTGATGGTATATTCAATTGGTACTTTATTTTCTCATAAACTAACTCAAAAAATGGCATAAATGCTTCTATGGTCATAACGGTAATTATTTAAACATAATGGTAATTTGGAATAAGGAAAAAAATTGCATGGATGAACACTGGGAAGGCATACTGATCACGGGAAATAAAAAATATACTAATTAATTTATTTATATTTATTATCATATATAATTTATAGAAAAAATTATATAAATATACTCATTAATAGGTGTAAGAAACTGGAGGAAAACGGGTGCGGTCTCACTACCATGAAGCGCACAAAAGCGGGGAAAGCCCATATGAAACCCAAATGGGATTCCATCCCAAAATCAATTGGTGGAAGGAGCAGTAGCTCATTAGTCTTATAAGGTGGGTCTATTTTCCATGTATGAACGATGTGGGACAACTCACAAGTGATATTCTTGTTGGATTTTCGATGTACGAATCAATCGCACGCGCAACGAAATTTTAAAATTTTTCTTACCAACAACGAAGATCCGGCTATAGCTATTCGATATGACCCTAGATCGCGTGAATAATTAACGAAAACTTACAGTTTAAGCTTTGTCTTCAACTATGGTATCCACGCAATCCAGATCCCGGTGCACGATCCAACGCAATGAATCCTTTCCGGTGAAGATGCTAGGAATCCTCAGTCAGAAAGCCAGTGAGTGCTTTGTGTTTTACGGCGTATCAGATTTTCTCATCTAATGATCTCTTCTCATCTAATGAAGAGATAACCACCTATTTATAAGAGGAAATTACATCCTCCACTTAAACAATATGAAAATATTACATAAATACATCTTCTATATAATTATTTACAAACTAACTAAATTTGTTATATTTATTTGCATATATACCTAAAAATCTGATTTCCTATTACATGGTAACTTCTCATTCCTATTTACATGGTAACTCCCCTCATCTCTCTCTCTCCAAAATCTTACTTTCCCTCGCCAAACCCTATCCATCGTCTCCCCTCATCTCTCTCTTCTCCAGATCTTGCTTTCTCTCGCCAAACCCGATCCATCGTCTCCCCTCATCTCTCCCTCTTCTCTAACTCTTGCTTTCTCTCCGCCAAACCCCACCCCTCCTGCCACCCCTAGCGTCGCCCTCACGGCGATGGTATGCTTAGACGCTGACGAGCAGGGATGATGCTCGATGATTCTGGACGAAGGGACAAGGAGACGACGACTGCTTGCTTGAAACGAAAGAGAACGGCCTCTGCAAATTTGAACGAGGGCTGGGAACTATTCGATTTTTATCCCGTGCATAGACCTTTTTGATTGGCTGCTTGTGAAAAACGAACAGAGGTGCGGGATGATAAGGCTGCGACAAAAACCTTTTCTTTTTCTACTGCTTGATCAATGATTTCATCTGGATTGGTGTTTTGTGTGTGTGAATTTTTCTCTACCTCTTTATGGTTTATATTCAGTATATTTTCGGTATATTTTCATCCCATCATACTGCATCGTGTTTGTTCTTTCCTACTGTTATACATATCATTTATATTCAATATATTTTCGGTATATGTATGGTTTATATTTAATAAAATATAAATATTCAGTATATATCGTGCGCCTCTAATGAATATGGTTTATACATATTCAATATATGCATGGTTTATATTCAGTATATTTTCGGTATATGTATAGTTTATATCGTGCGCCTCTATTGTTTTGTTCTGTGTTGTGGTATATGTACAATATATGTACAGTATATATGAAATATATACTTTTTTTACCTGACAGGAGAAAAAAATATAATTTGATTTTAATAAAAATTGAAGTGATGGAATTTATATAAATATATATATATATATATATATAATAAGAATTACTATTTACAAAAAATGGTAGCAAAAAAATATGTCAGAATTTAAAGCAGCCTATAAATAGTAAGTTTTATTATATTTTTATTTTTTTTCTTTAAAAATCATATAGCATTAAATGCTACCTTAAATTTCGGGTTTTAGTTCATTTTATTATTTAAAAAATTCGGCTAAGATTTATTAAGTGTGTATGTTTTTATTTTTATTTTTTTTCTTAGAAACAACGAACAACATTAATCTATATTTGTAAAATCTCAATTCAAAATATAACTTTATATTTGTGCCTTTAAAAAATATTGAACGCTAAAAATATTCTTTAAATTGCATAATCAATCCATTAATCTTAATTTTTTTAAAAATTACTATGTTTATTTTTTATTAATATGCATAAAGTAAAAATAATTAATTCATCTTTAGATATATAATTTATAATCTTAATATACTATCATTTGGTGTAGACATTTATTATATGAATAATAAAATATTTTTATTTCATAAAATTAAATATATTCAAAGAAAATAAAAAAAATTCTTCGGATCAATCGGGTGATGAATTAGGGTACTATCCAGGTTGATTGAATTAATTTTAGGTGATATTTAAAATAGTCAAAAAACTTGACACAAGTTGGTTGGTTACAGGTGACTAAGTTATGTACCAGTTCGACCACACCAAATCGATTATTGAACCTAAATATTAATTTTATATTAAAAATATTTTATTACGTGAATGTGATGCAGTCCAAACTTTAAATAATCGTATTAACAATACTTTTATGGCAACATCTTTAATAATTTATGAATATTTATATATCATTTTATTAATATTTATGTGAATTAAATAATATTTTAATATAATATTTATTAATGTACAGTAAATATAAGGGTTTCAGAACTGGACCGTCATCGAAACGATAAAGCTATTTGATTTAATCATTTGTGATTTGTTCAGATTTTAATTTATAAAAATTTTAATATATATATATAGTACTTTTTGTAATAAATTTAAATAAAATGTGTTACTTAGATATCTAAATAATTTATAAATTTAAACTAATTGATAAATAATTTATAAATCTCTATTTTATTTAAATATGTAATTTTATTTAAAATAATTTTAAATATAACATAATTTATTTAGAAAATCGTATCGATCCTCCCAGTCCAACCGACTGGTGTTGACGGATTCGAAAGCAAAAATGGTAGCAAAAGAATAGGTCAAAATTTAAAGCAGCCTACAAATAGTAAGTTTTGTTGTTTTTTATTTTTTTTTTAAAAAATCATACAGCATTAAATGCTACCTTAAATTTTGGGTTTTAGTTTATTTTATTATTTAAAAAATCCGGCTAAGATTTATTAAGTGTGTATGTTTTTATTTTTTATTTTTTTTCTTAGAAACAACGAACAACATTAAAATCTCGGTCTCTATATTTGTAAAATCTCAATTCAAAATATAACTTTATATTTGTGCCTTTAAAAAATATTGAACACTAAAAATATTCTTTAAATTTCATAATCAATCAATTAATCTTAATTTTTTGAAAATTACTATGTTTATTTTTTATTAATATGCATAAAGTAAAAATAATTAATTAATCTTTAGATATATAATTTATAATCTTAATATACTATCATTTGGTGTAGACATTTATTATATGAATAATAAAATATTTTAATTTCATAAAATTAAATATATTTAAAAAAAATAAAAAAATTCTTCGGATCAATCGGGTAATTGAATTAGGTTACTATCCATGTTGATTGAATTAATTTTAGGTAATATTTAAAATAGTCAA